ACCTGTTTTACGTCCCCACAAAATGCCCGGAGGAGAGTGTGAGACATCCTATATATGATTATAAGTAATATTTATGTTTCTGTATATATTTTTCAACATTATTGGTTTGTATAATACGTATAATTTTGAATTTTTCAGATGAAATGTTTATATTTTTATGTCATAATTTTATGAAATGATATGCAAAGGATGAAACAGAAGACCAAATATATACATTGTTTCATAAAATTATAAGGACAAAAATATAATCGTTTTATTTTATCTGAAAAATTCAAAATTATTTATCGCACAACTCAATTATAGTATATTTATGTAATATATTTATTTTATAGTACAGATATATAATATATTGATAAATCGGCCGAAATATAGAACATTGATTTAGTCATTGCATTAATGCTGAAACTAAATTTTTTGTTGAACAGAGGCGAGAGATTTGTGTTCGGGCATCATTATCTGAGACCTCACGAGACATATCACGAACCGACGCGGAAGTTCTACGTGAACGAAGTTGTGTGCGCTCCGTTGTACGAGGCTGTCCCTTGCGATCTCGTGGCCGAGCGTTGCTGGGTACTCGATCCTCACACTTTCTGCAAAGGTGCGCACTACTGGCTCTATTCAGTCGTTTACGATGTCATCGATTATCGCTTTGTTATCTGACGAACATTAACTTCACTCTCCTAACGTCTCTTTCGACTTCAGGTCGCCCGGTCGGTTCTACTGCTGAACATACATACGTGTGTGAATATCGTGTTGATCGTGCTGCGCGACTCTTCACGAAAGTGTCTCGAGCCAGGCATCAAGTATGCACAAAACCATACGCATTCGAAACCTTCCCACAGCGTATAAAACATTATCGTACTTACTTGGTAAGTGTTTTTTTAATAAAAGATCTTTTATTTCTAAAAGATTACTAAATTTTAAAAAATTCCTCCTAAACACTTTGTTTATATTTTATTATATATTGTTCACAGAGTTGTAAAAATATTAATTGTTTCTTAATTTAATAGTTTATGTCAACAAATATGTTTTAATTCAACTAATTGACGATTGATCCAAACAAAATCAACCGAAAAGTATTTAATTAATAATTGATTTCAACGAATTCAATCAAGCACCGTTTAATTGAAGACTTATTTGAGCAAAAGAAATAAAAAATCATTTAATTAACAATTAAACTTAGCAAATTTAATCAAAGGCTGTTTGTTTGAGGATTAAACTTAGCAAATTAAATTAAATACTGTTTAATTTACGATTGATACGAGCAAATTCAATCAATTACTCAAAGTTACAATTGGTTTGAATAATATTTATTCTCAGAGCATCGTGGAAAATGCTGATGATTGAGTAGACCTGCTTTGAAAAGAGCAATGAGCGTATTAATCGTCATCAAATCTTCGATACAATCTTCGATTGAATCGACTGAATTTGCTCATATTAATCGCTAATTAAACACCTTTTAATTAAATATGCTAAATTTAATCGTCAATTAAGCGACTTTTAATTAAATTTGCTAAGTTTAGTTATTAATTGAATGATCTTTAATTCCCTTTGCTTGTATCAATTGTCAATCGAACAGTTTTCGATTGAATTTGTTGAGACTAATTGTCGATTAAACGGTCTTCAATTAAATTGGCTCATATTAATCGTCAATTAAACACGATAACTAATTAAACAAATAATTAATTACTCGCAACCCTGATTGTTTATAGCCTCACAGCCTCGAAGGAATTCAACTTGGCAAAAAGTTCTTCTTGTCGAAAGACAAGAAGAAGAATAATAACAATCACGAGGTAGACGGGAATCAGAAAATGGAATCCGGTGACAACACGAAGGCGCCCAACAAAGAGCCCAAATGCGCCAGTGGTACCAGGACCAGACGAAGATCGGGTGGCGATATCTTGACGATCGCAACATCCACAACGTCATATATTCAGGTAATAATCACACGTGGCAATCGCATTGTGATTTTCACAAGTGTCGTTTTTAATGATTTATTCAATTTTAATCTAATTTTCAGAGGGAAGATCAGAAGAAGCGACTAAACAGTATCCTCCTACATCTACTGCAAAAAATGCCGAATAAAAAAGACCCGTTGGATTTGTCTTTCCTTTTAGAAAGAAATAGACGAAACCGAAAAAGACCCGGCGGGCTCAATCCGTGACAATGGGTAATATCGCAACGATAATACCGGTACTGTATATGAGCTAGACGACCTTCTGCTAACATCAATCTCAGTCAGAATAATTTAAGCTAAGTTAGATATAAGGTTAATCCGTTCTAAACTCGGTTCTGCTATAGGTCAAGGTCATTGTATATCCTTCTCCCTTAACGAGGAAAGCATCAGAGAAATGAGGAAAGTGTGTGACTCCTCTTCGTATAACCCGTCCATTGATATAATTTATATCAATATCGTAGAGAGTCGAGAGTAAAATATTCGTTATCAGAACAATTATCAGTCGGTATTTTTCTTATGATTTCTTTTATATCCTCTTTTTTTCCTTTTATAGATCAGGCTAAGTATTATCTATTCGATTTGCTTCCGAATAGGTTTTTTGTTATCTATAACGAGTCTTGACTCACGATATTCAGTCAATCACGTTACGAGTAACTTATGAGTACTCAGAATTCAGTGTACCATGTTAATTTCACTCCAGTTAGAGGGTATTTAGCGAAGGAGAGCTAGTTAATCGTTTCTCCCAACAGCAAATAATGAGCTATTACGTTATTAATATAATTATGACTCACGTACTCTTGTATAGAATCGTTTGTATAGCTTTTTTTCATAGTTATTATTTCATAGTAATGATTATAGCTGAATGTACAAATTACAAAGTTACAATTACAAGTTATACGGGATAAAACTCCTAAAATGGGATAAACGTTATATCCAGTGTGAGATGTAGAAAATATCGGTATAAATAACGCGCGTGCGCGCGCGCGCGCGTATATGCGTGTGTGTATGAGTGATTGATGCTTTACTGCACAGAAGTAATATTATATTTTTCATAATCCCGGTGTGTGTTATTCAAATCAAATGTAACATATAACTTTCTCCAGTTTACGGAAGAATCTTTACGCGAATGTATATTTAATTTATTGATATATATTGAATTATTGTAGTCGAACGCGACTGGACGGCGGTCGCAGTGATTCCAATATTGTATATATGTACTCGCTGCGCTCCATATTTATTATTGCATTACACAGTATGGTAGATACATCTTATGATATATAAATATCTTTAATATACGCCTTACTTCTTTCATTCTTCTTTTTGTTCGTATGAGACTATCCTATAAAGTAGACTTTACTTTTATGAAAATTTTCTCATAGTATTATGTTTCCATTGACGTAAGACTAAAACGCACATATATGTAAATAATATATTATTTTAATATAATATATTAATGTATATATTATATTATTATACATATATGTTTATATATATATATATATACCTATATATATTTATATGCATATTAGAAGTAGTGCAGTAACACGCTTTTGTGTATATTGAGCGCACGAAATTAATACGAGAGCTATTTATTTTATTTAAATAACAATCCTCAATTCTTTTCAGGAAATTAAATTGTAATAGGCGTATATAAGAGCTCAACACGCAAATTCCATACAAAGTGCGTAACTAACGAAGAATAGAAACTATAAGAAACAGAATAAAACATGATATGAGATGTTACAAAAGTTTCGGTCTTATTTTTGGACGCTTCTCAATGCAAAGTAAATACCGTTACATAATCGATATGATGCAATCGTCAATAGTTTACGGAAAAAAAGTAGTAGAGTTGTGTAAAAAAGCGAATAGATCTAATAAAACGGAAACATTTTGTTGACATTGCATCGGGTTTTGCTTCATATTATGACCGATAATTTTTTCTTTGTTTTACGCATTTAGAACTTGCGTTCGCTTCTTAGGCCTATCGCAATCTTATTTCTCTGATTGTATATTATACCATATCAAGTATAAGAGCTTTATTTATAATTTTTCTTCTAATTTTTTTTCTTTTGGCAACAAGCGCTTGCGCATTTCTATTCGATGTATCTCTATGTAATATCATCAAAATATTTATTATATTGTGTAATCCAAAAATAAAAGAAATAGGAAAGGTAAGGAGAATACTAAACTTCGAAGCTGGCCTTCTAACGTAAGCTGACGTAATATAGGAGAAAGAGAGAAACACGCGGTGTGTGTGAGCTGTTTTTAAATTAGATTCAAAGCGTTATTACCGACCCGAGTTCGCATTCGTTGGTTTTCGGAGAAGCGTATATCGAGAAGAGGACGACATTGGACACGCGGAACGATATCGTCGCGCATCTTTTCCATGACACGAAAGAAGAGGCGGGGGGAGAAGCAGGAGGAAGTTGCATCATTTTTCCATTCGATTATATCGATGCGATTATCGTCCGTTTAAGAATAACGTAAGGAATGCAACGTATATTTGTATCATATTGATATCGAAGACAACGACGGCAATAATTGAGAGGATATATTAGTTTATTCTAAAATATATAGTTGCGATCTTACACGGCGTCTATATATCATTATTACGCACGAGTGTATATTCTGTGCGAGGTGTTTTCCAGCTACTCAAAATTATTATTTTACTAATCGTACATTCTTTCTGCTTTTCTTTCCTTTCTTAACGCATTCGAACGCTGTACTACACGACGTATTTTTTTTTTTGTAATAATATCCGAATGAGTCGCGCGATGCCAGATGGATGCGGAACCTCTTTTCTTTTCTCTTCTTCTCGATTTCATGCGATAACGACATTAACAAAGTTACGGTGATATGTGTAACATCGAGTTTTAACCAAACGCAGCTTCGTCGAAAGCTTATTGTGCGACTGCACACTACGACACAAATTATATTACTGAACGTGTTTCGTACAATATTAAGCAGACATTATTATATCACGCAGCTTATAATTTTGCCGGGCTTCCGCTCAGTATAACGTGTCATCACTCGATCATGTATTAATTTTATCGATTCACATGTTATCGGCTAAGAGCGATAAGGTCGATCGAGATATATAATGTATCGCGCGCAATAAAAGGATCATTGTATTTTCGTACTTGAAGATCGGTAAGGTGCGATTATTTCTTTCACGTCTAGGATATATCTTTCGTTTTATATGTTTACTAAATCACTCTGATCGTGAGAAAAAGCGCGGCTACTCTACTCTCATATCAAGCGATTTCGTGCACTTGATTTCAATGCACAATTTGAACTCTTCTCTTTTTTTTCGAGTAGCAACATTAGGACGCGGCTCCAACGGTCCGATGAGAGAACTTATAACATCTGAAAATTAATCAAAAACAAGTTCTCTCACCGAATAATCGGCTGCGTTCCAAACTATAACTCGAAAGAAAAAAAGTGATTCAACCGTATTGGAATTAAGTTTGCACACCTCCATTAAGCGACATTTTTTTCTTTTTCTCCCTTTCATTTTTTCTTTAAATTGTCGTACACGTATATTAGTACGACACGAGATGCATTAATGACATTTTTCCTTTGTTTTCCTCTTTTTTTGATCAATCGATCATTCATAACAGTAGCTGTGTAATAACTTGCCTCTTGAGTTCGCTTACATATAATTAACACACTATTATAACATTTAGATATAATCAAAAGACACGAGAGAGAGAGAGAGAGAAAGAGAGAAAGAAAGAAAGAAAACGAATTATTGTTGCGACGACAGGCTTTCAGCTACCTATGTAGTGCATGTACAGACCATTGTATTGTACTCTGATGAACACAAATACACGTGAAGTTTCCTTATATTACATAGTCTGCCACGCGTATTATTGCTTAACGATCTGTCGACCTTCCTCTTTGAAGGCGCCGTAGTATAGGGTATGCGCGCGATGGATCTCGATCTAAATGTACACAAGACTGAGAATCGCCGCCTCTATACACAGAATAAACAATCCTAGCATATTATTGTTACGCACCCATGAACACGCACGCACATATGCACGCACATACGTATTACGCGAGAGAGTATGGTTGTAAAATACAGGTGAAAGCCAAAATAAATAGAAGAAACTTTTTATTTTTATGAATAAGTTTGTACATTTTTGTCAACAATTAAGTTTATAGATTATATACTGATTTTTTTTGTTTCCGTCATATAGAAAAGGATCGACTACGAATGATCGTATTACCCAGTGTGACCCACGAATACGTTGGTAGTAGCAGAAAGATTGCAACATTCTTTCCTCGATGAGTCTTAGAACGCATCTGACGTTCTTCAACAAGAAAATTGATCTTACGAGAATGATTGGACAATAAATTCTTCTATTGTACATACAGAGGCGTTACGAAACTCATTGCGGAGAAAGCAAGAAAAAGAATAATTGCAAGCCTTCTGCCACTGACTAAACATCGTGCGGCTCTGTTTTCTTCGCTTATGGTAACACACAGAGGTACTAATTAATATACACTACGTGTAGGTTAAATAGAACTTCTAATTATTTCTTAAAAAATAACTTGCTTCTCCCTCCTTGCCCTCTCTCTCACACATTCACACATACACGCCTTTCTTCTCCGTTCCTCTCATTTTCTAAATGTTATCTCATTACTTTTCTCGCCCTATAACTCTGTGTATCGTTATTTAATCGTTAAATTATTTTCGAATTCACATAGAAGTACATGTAGCTCGCAACATCACACATTGTACAATACGTTCTCTAAACTAATGTGACAATCATTCCGCGAACGTAACATAGAAAAGGGAGGATCTCCTCCGCAAGTGAGTGAAGCAGCGAAACGCGACGAGACAGATTGTCCACTTTGCTCGTGAGATTTCTCTTGGGCGTTCATCACTTTCAATCAGCACAATCGATTAAAAGGGCGATACACGACATATTATTAATTGTACAATCTTCGTGAATCCACGTGTAAATTGCGAGCGATTAAAATCGTACTATTAAGGATCGACTGTTCCAACCTCTTGGTAAACTATCTAACAGTTAAACCATGTGTCTGTTCGTCTAATTTAAAGAAAAAACAGAGACAAACATGTGATTTAACTATCAGATAGGTTGCCAAAAAGTTGGAACAATCGACCCTAATATTCTCAGAATCAATGATGATGAAATATATATATATCGCATATAAATATATATATATATATATATGTGTGTGTGTGTGTATACACACATATATATATATATATATATATATATATATATAT